GAAGTGGTTAAAACATGGGTAAAGTAACATCAACACATATCGAAATATGCCAAACATCACCCTCCAATGTCAATCTCTCACACCTCCTCACCAGGGCGTCTATGCTCATCCTCCCCATATGACCAAACCACCTAAGCCGCATTTCCCGCATTTTGTCCTTAATAGAGGCCACACCCACCTTATCGTGAATAACCTCATTTCTGATCCTATCTAACCTAGTGTGCCCGTACATCCATCTCAACATTCTTATCTCTGCTACCTTCATCTTCTGGACATGAGCAATCTTGACTGGCCAACACTCAGCCTCATACAACATCGTTGGTCTGACCATCACTTTGTAGAACTTACCCTTAAGTTTCAGTGGCACCTTCTTGTCACACAAAACACCGGAAGTGAGTCTCCATTTCATCCATCCTGCCCCAATACGATGTGCGACATCTATATCAATATCCCCATCCCCCTGAATAATAGACCCGAGGTATTTAAAACTCCCTCTCCTAGGGATGACCTGCGATTCCAGCCTCACCCCCCCTCCCCTCCTTGAGTCTCGCCATTGAACTTACACTCCAAGTATTCTGTCTTGGTCCTGCTCAACTTGAAACCTTTAGATTCCAGAGTCTGCCTCCACACCTCTAATTGCACGTTCACACCATCTTGGGTCTCGTCAATCAATACAATATCATCTGCAAATAGCATGTACCATGGCACCTCCCCTTGGATGTGGCGCATCAGTACGTCCATCACCAGAGCAAACAAAAATGGGCTAAGTGTCGACCCCTGATGCAACCCTATCATAACCGTAAAATGGTCTGAGTCCTCACCCATCGTCCTCACTTGGGTCTTTACTCCATCATACATGTTCTTAATCAACCTAACGTAGGCAACAGGTACACCCCTAGCCTCCAAACATCTCCACAAAACCTCCCTCGGAACTTTATCGTACACCTTTTCAAAGTAGATGAACACCACATGCAAGTCCTTCTTTCTCTCCCTATACTGCTCCATCAATCGCCTAACAAGGTGGATGGCTTCTGTGGTCGAACGCCCCTGCATAAACCCAAATTGGTTCTCAGAAATAGTCACACTCATTCTCACCCTTAGCTCTACCACTCTCTCCCAGACTTTTATAGTATGGCTAGGCAGCTTGATACCCCGATAATTATTGTAATTTTGGATATCACCCTTGTTCTTGTATACAGGAACAATCGTGCTCCACCTCCACTCTTCGAGCATCTTCTTCATTTTAAAAATGACATTAAATAACCTAGTGAGCCACTCCAAGTCTGTCTTGCCCACACTCTTCCAAAACTCCACCGGGATTTCGTCCGAACCGGTCGCTTTGCCCCTACTCATCTTACGTATAGCCCTCTCAACTTCATCAACTCTAATCTGCCTACAATACCCAAAGTCACAAAGACTCCCATCGAGTTCCAAATCACCTAGTACAATGCTCATGTCCCCTTCCTCATTCAAGAGACTATGGAAGTAGGTCTGCCATCTCCGACGGATAAGCCCCTCGTCCAACAAAACTCTACCTTCTTCGTCCTTGATACACTTCACTTTGTCCAAGTCTCACGCCTTCCTTTCTCCCGCCTTGTCTAACCTGAATAACCTCTTATACCCACCTCGGCCCTCGAGTTCCTTATACAAACGACTAAAATCTAGCTTAGCCTCTTTCTTAGCCAACTTATAATGCTCCCTATTCACCCTCTTCTCTTCCTCGTCTACACTTTCCACTAGTTTCAGATACGCTGCTTTCTTGGTATCCAATTTTCCTTGCACCTCTCCATTCCACCACCAATCTCCCTTTTGACCCCTAGAGTAACCATTTGTGACCCTTAATACTTCTCTCGTGGCTTCCCGAATGCACTGCGCAGTCGTGGTCCACATAGCGCTTGCATCCCCACTACTCCTCTAAGCCCCCATAGTCACCAACTTGACCCCCAACTCCTGCGCTTTAGCTTCCATCAAGGCTCCCCACTTTATCCTATGTTGGCTATATATCGCCCTCTTCCTCGTGATCTCAAATTCCATGACCAGGAGCCTATGAAGTGTCGAGAGGTTCTCACTCGGGATGACCTTGCAATTCGTGCAAAGACCCCTATTGTACTTCCTGCAGAGTACATAATCAATCTGAGTCTCAGCCACCGAACTCCGGAAGGTGACCAAGTGCTCCCTCTTCTTCGGGAAACTCGAGTTTGCTATCACCAAATCAAATGCTCTAGCAAAGTCCAACAGAGACGTTCCTCCTCCGTTTCTCCAAAACCAAAGCCAACACGCACAACATCATACCTCCCAGACGTCGCTACAATATGGCCGTTGAAATCTCCTCCAATTAAAACCTTCTCGGTATACGGGGTACCCCACACCATCTCATCTAAATCCGCCCAGAAACTCATCTTGACTTCCTCATCCAATTCTGCTTGGGGTGCGTACACACTGATTATGTTCAAGGTAAAACCTCCAACAACTAGCTTAATAGTCAGCAGCCTGTCATTCACCCTCCTAACCTCCACCACTATTGCACGGAGGTCGTTATCAACCAAGATACCTACCCTATTCCTGCCCCCACCCTCCCAGAATACCAAAGTTTGAAACTTCCCACATCACGCGCCTTATCTCCTACCCACCTGGTCTCTTGTACACAAGCTATATTAACCTTCCTTTTCTCGAAAATCTTTGCTAGCTCTAGTGATTTTCCAGTCAAAGTTCCCATGTTCCAAGACCCCACTCTCAGCGTAGTAGCTCTCTTAGACCTATTACCCCCTCGCACCCCCTCCCTCTCGCTGACACCCCCGAGGACAATACCTTACCCTACCATCGTTCACCATAGCCACTATAATCTAGGAGTTACTACGCAAGCACTATCCCGAAAACAAGCGACCAAAGATACAATGAATTACCAAAATATAATCTACCACTAAAGGTCATAAAACAGGTAAAGAAATAAAATAAAGGAACTAACGGGAACTATAATCTACCACTAAAGATCAGAAAAACAGGTGAAAAAATAAAACAAAGGAACTAAAGGAACAATAATCTACAACTAAAGGATAGAAAAACATATGATGAAATAAAATAAAGGAACCAAATGAACTATAACCTACAATTAGAAAAATAGGCGAATGCACTAATTCAGAGTACAAGTAATTAAAAGAACTAATAATCTACAGACTAAAATCCCAAAATAGTTACTATCAAGAAAGTAGACAGGCAAATGCACTAATTAAGAGTACAAGTAGACAATCAAGAATGAGGCTTAATCTATCCCAAACTAATTGGTTAACAAGAAAAATAGAAATACTGATTGAAGATTAGGAGGTACCAACTCCCGATTAAAGTAAACAAGGGCGACGACACCTAGATTGTAGACGGACTACCAAATCGACTAGACCCCGGTTGAATGTCACCTTGAGCCAAGATACAAACCAGAAATCTGACCTCCGACTGGAACGACGACCACCTAAATGGATAACTACCTGAACTGAATTCCACAGCTGACGCTTGTAGTTTGCGCCAGAAATCTAAGCGTAGAACCTGGTCACAAACACACCAACCACACACACAGAGAACGAGAGGGGAGGAGAACACGCGCAGAGCAAGAGTGCTAGCTCTGATCGAAAAATCAAAAAATGTATAAATCACCAAAAAAAAGCTCGTCGGCAATATAGAAAAGAAATGAGCAATGGAGAAACAAGAACTTGTGTACAGGTGATGAAAGAGACAAATGGAAAAGACTTTCAGTAAGCTATGATAAATCATCAAGAAGCTACATCTGAAGTTTTTCCTATGACATGTGCTTCTGCTACTGGGAAGCCATTTCATATTCAACTCAACATTCCCTTGAAGACACCTATACAAGTCTTACATGATCTTGTAACCCATAATGTTGCACCAATTACTATTGAGGAGGCAATGGGAGAACACGAACAATTTGGGGAAGAAGGTGATGATGAATCCACAGCTGATAACTTCAAGGCAATAGCAAGGGAGGTTGATTTATCTCCTAGGGCTGGAGATAAGAGTGGTAAAAAGGGAAGAAAACAAAGCCAACACAAAGAGATGCATCCACCAAAAAGAATTTTGCCTAGAAGGGCAGCTTCACAAACCAAATGATGATCAAGACTATAATTTGGAACATAAGGTATGTTAATACACAAGAGGCCTTTCAGAGAGTTATCAATATGCAAAGAGAGCATGTTTTTTAATTGTTGAATTGATGGAACCTTTTCAACATTGTAGACACATTCATAATTATAGGAGGAGACTGGGTATGAAAGCTCTTATGTCAAACATTAATGGAAAATTTTGGCTATTCTTTGATGCAGTTGTTGAATGGGAATTAGTAATGGACACTAACCAGAAGGTTACTATTAAGGTATATCATCAAGACATAGGTCAGCATATCATCATGACTTTTGTGTATGCTAAATATTCATCACTTGAACGACTGGAATTGTGGGACTATTTGTACTACTTAGCCATTGATATGGATCTGCCTTTGGTTGTTGGAGGTGATTTAAATGTTATTTTACATGAAGACGAAAAGGTAGGAGGTTTGCCAGTGTATCCACCTGAATATGAAGATTTTGCCTTATATGTGAACTCTTATGGTTTATTTGATCTTGGATACAAAGGAAGTTCATTTACTTGGTGGAATGGTAGACCAAATGCACAATGCATCTTCAAGAGGCTGGACAGGATCTTTGTCAATTTTTCTTTCCAAACACTCTTCCCAAATATAGAAGTAGAACACCTAATAAGGATTGTCTCTGATCATGCCCCATTGTTAATGAGTTGTGGACAAGAGGCTATGCAGTTTGTAAAACTATTTAGGTTCTTCAACTTTTGAACTAAACATGCCACTTTCGAATAAATGGTCAAGCAGAACAGGGTGGCAGATTTTGTAGGTGATCCATTCCTGATGTTCAAACAGAAGTTGAAGAGAGTGAACACATCCCTATCACATTGGAGTAAACTCACTTTTGGAGATATATTCAAGCAGCTAGCTATTAGGGAGGATATTGTCAGGGTTAAGGAGATGCTATTTGAATAGGAACCTACAGTTGAAAATAAGATTGTGCTTCAGCAAGCACATGCTGAACTGAAAAAGTACCTTAGCATTGAAGAACAGTACTGGAAACAAAAGGCAGGAATGAACTGGTTTGCTGAGGGTGATAGAAACACAAGATTCTTTCACAATCACGTAAATGGGAGGAGGTAGAAACTGAACTTGAAAGCCAAAATACTATAACTAATGCTGCAGTGGAGTTCTTTCACAAACAATTCACACAAGAAGGGGATACAACAACCTTCGAATTACTAAATAATGTACCTAAGCTGGTCAATATGGAACAAAACTTGGAATTGTGCAAATTTCCTTCCATGGAGGAAGTCAAGGATGCAGTATTTGCATTGTCTCTTGATAGTGCAAGTGGACCAGATGGGTTCACTGGATTTTTCTACCCATCCTGCTGGGAAATCATAGGAGAAGACATTTTCATGCTTCTCCAAGAGTTCTATGTAGGGGCAACATTGCCAAAATCCATAACACATACTAATCTTGTACTCCTCCCTAAGAAAATACCAGTACAAAATTTCTCATACTTAAGACCTATAAGTATAAGTAATATCATCAGCAAGGTATTCTCGAGAGTGTTACATGACAGAATGGAGAAGATAATACCATCCTTGATTTCTCCAAACCAATCAGGCTTTGTGAAAGGAAGGAGTATTTTTGAAAATATTTTGCTCACACAAGAAATTATCTCTGATATACGATTGAGAGGGAAACCAACCAATGTGGTAATCAAGCTTGCTATGGCAAAGGCTTATGATAGGGTTTCTTGGAAATATCTTCTGCAGGTATTGAGGAAAATAGGGTTTGCTGAGTAATTTATCAACATGATAGGGAAATTATTGGACAATAATTGGTACTCAGTGCTAATTAATGGACAAGCTTCAGGCTTCTTCAAGTCCAGTAGAGGGGTGAAACAAGGAGATCCTCTATCTCCAGCATTGTTCATTCTGTCTGCAGAGGTACTATCAAGATCACTAAACAAATTGTTCACAAACAAGAATTTCATAGGATTTGGAATGCCAAAGTGGACAGATCCATTAAACCACTTAGCTTATACATATGATACAATTATCTTCTCATCTCCTGACCCTTACTCTTTACAGAAGATCGTTGAAGTGATAAAACAATATGAACATACTTCTAGCCAGCTAATAAACAAGTCAAAGAGCTCTTACTATATGCATACAAAGGTGGCATGGAACTTAGCTGATTGTGTTGGTTCAATAACTGGCTTCAAAAAAGAAAACTTCCCATTCACCTACTTAGGGTGTCCAATATTTTATACAAGGAGAAGGAAGGATTACTATCATGATATCACTAAGAAGGACAAGGAAAAATTACACTCCTATAAAGGGAAATTACTGTCTTTTGGAGGCAAAGATACCCTTATTACTAGTGTACTTCAAAGTTTACCTACCCACATCATGTCAGTCCTCGATCCTCCAAACAATGTTCTGGAATACCTACATAAGATGTTTGCAAGATTCTTCTGGAGTACTAATGAAGAAGGAAGAAGTAGACACTAGACCAAGTGGTTGAAGTTGTGTCTCCCTAAGGAGGAAGGAGGACTAGGGTTCAGGTCCCTATTTGATATATCCAAATCACTGTTTGCAAAGTTATGGTGAAAATTCAGAACCTCTAAGTCATTGTGGTCGAACTTCATATGGAATAAATATTGCAAGAAAGAAATTCCTACTTGGTATAATTTAGACAAGGATCCCATGTTTGGAGGAAAATGTTAAAAGCCAGAGAAGAGGTTGAGCATAAAATTCTGTGACAAATAAATAGGGGTTCAACAAGTGTTTCGCATAAAAATTGGATTGGTATTGGAGCTCTATATCATGTTGTCCCCCCAGAGTTCAACATCAATGAAGACGTGCAGGAGGTGGCAGAATTGATAACAGAGAATGGATGAGATGATCAGCTACTGGATCAAACATTCCCAGATGACATAGCTGACCACATAAGGCAAGAAATTTACTTGGACAATACTGATGACACCTGGGATACACCTAAATGAATGCCAACAACTTCAGGTAAATTTACAGTTAGTAGTGCATGGCACATCTTGAGTCATAGAGAACCAACAAATCCGGAACACAAATAACTTTGGACTAAAGGCTTATCCCTCAAAATATCTTTTTTCCTATGGACATTATGGAGAGGAAAGGTTCCTACGGATGACTTATGGAGGAGAAATGGATATCAAACTATTTCAAAATGTTGGTGTTGCATTTCTCCTCAAGAAGAAACACTGCAACATATTTTCCTTACAAGTTATACTGCCTCACGAGTATGGAAGGTCTTCTTATATGTTGTTGGGATTGTGATCAACTTGACACATATACTTCAAGTTATTAAAGCCTGGTGGAAAGCTGAGTGTTGTGCTAAACTAAAGCCAATTTTTCAGGTTGTTCCGGTCATTATTTCCTGGGAACTTTGGATGAGAAGGAACACTATGAAGCATGGAGGAACAACTGTCTCTTTTAACATGGTGGTGCATGAAATTAACAATACACTACACTATCTAGCTAAATTAAGGTTTAATTGGCTACCAAATATACCTCTTCTTTGGCTGGATATAATTAATTTTTTTGAAGCCTATAAACCTTATATTATTACCAAAAGAGTTACAT